AATATTCTATACCCAAGTCTAACCGTTTTTGATAGATTTGAAATTTTATATGAAAAATGACAGTTGCAGCCAATCGGATAATTATAAATTTTTCCTATTAGCAAATATGTGCTACTTAATTTGAGTCGCATTTCTTGTTGAAAAAGACTTACTTTAAAGGAATTTCGACGACATTTTGTTAACATAACTATTAATACGAAGTATTAAAAAAACAAGTTTCAAAATGACGTTGAGAAAACTACCCAAAATATATTTTTTTCAAATGGAAACCCCCATTTTTGCTAATTTTATCTTAATCAGTACTAAAAATAAGGGTAAGTTTGTGTAAAGTTGACTATTCCAAAATTGTTTAATTTTCGAAGTTCTGCCAATTTAATGTTTTCATATGGCTGCTTCGTCGCATTTAGTTTTAAATACTGTCACTCTTAGTTGCCATGACAAAAGTTGCCATTTTTAATACAATCAAATGCCAAAGGAATTCTTACAGCTGTCCAGTTTGTCAGCAGACCTTTTAAAAATTATTAATATTCATGCCCAGACGAAGATTATTTAAACTTATTTATCATTTATGGAGAATGTGATAGTTATCAAGAATTCAAAATAATTTTCAAATAGTTTATTTTGGGTCGCTTCGGTATTCCATTCATGGTAATATTTACGCTACTTTACTACACTCGAAACCGGTTTTCATGCGCATCGAAATCGGTTTCGAAGACTCGGATGGTGGGGTCGGTTGAAATTCCTCGGAAAACCCCGCTTCGTATTGGTCGGAGTCGGATTCTACGCATTCCGACAAGGTCTCGCATTGGGGCGTTTCCCATTCTTCGGGTCTCCCCGGCTGCCATCGGATGAACGAAAATTCGGGGAATTCGGGATTTTCTTCACTTTTCGATGGGTTTCGGTTAAACTAGGTTTGAGGTGTCATAGAGTAAATGACAAAATTTTGCCACATACAGGGTGTTTTTCCCGCCCATTTCCAAATTTATTTCATAAATCGCAAATTTTTATTGGCATTCACGCATGCACAAAGTCAATTTGAGGAATTTTGGGAGACTCTAAATTCAAATATTAATCAAGTTGGCCCAAAAATGGCAACTGAGAGTGACTGCATTTTAAATACGGCGCGGCAAAATAGCGACATAAAAACATTAAATTGACAATATTTCGAAAACTAAACACTTTTGGAATAGACAAACTTGCCCTTATTTTTGATACTGAATATGATAAACTTTTTCCATTTGAAAAAATTGATTTTGGGCGGTTTTTTCACCGTTATTTTTAAACTTTGTATTAATAGTGATCAAAATGTCGAAATTCCATTAAAGTAAGTCTCAATGATCTCGGCACAGTGTCCAATTTTCAAATTTCTGCTAATTACAGTTTGCAACAATTTTTAATTACATAAAATCACTTTGTACGTTAATCAATCAAATAATAAGTGTCTTAGCTCTGCAATGACTACCTAAGACACAATCAATAAATTTAGTTATTTGGAACGCCGTAGCGTTAAGTGACGTTCTGCAATTTCACCGGCTTTGATCTGGGGATTTTGGTAGCATGTTAATGGTAAATGGACAATTGCCGCCATGTAAAATTAATTAAGCGGATTAAACTAGGTTCTACCAGACCACTCCCTTTCGGCAGTTTTTATTGCGGCCTTATTAACTCGCTGGCATAAATACGGAAAAGGGCAGAACGAGCCAACAGCTTTGATTATATTTCTCTCGTTTGCAAGCAAATGACCAATTTAAAAATGTGCCGGCGCGATGTCACTAAATACCAAAAAGTGCAGTGGAAGCAGCAGAAGCAACTGTGCGTTTCTGTAAAAAAACGCCAATTTAATAACGAATAGTTGTAATTAAACTAGGTAAAACTTATGTGGAAACAAAAAACTGGCGCGCAGCGTTATGCTCGGTCACGCCGAGCGGAAGAATAAAACATTATGATTAATGCGCTACTTTAAAATGTCGGTCAATAGAGTTACAAGGAACTTAAAAGCTCTAAGTATTTTTGAAGCAACTCATGAAAATATCCTAAATTTGCATCCTTCAGCGCAATTGTTTAAACATTTGTAAATGAGCTTCGCAGGAAGGATCTTTCTGGCCTCTTAGGTAATCTACCAAATACATTATATCGCTCTAATGATTTACGTAGTGGCAAACAGCCTGAACGATTCACAAAAACTAGGCCAAAACGGTTCCTGCATTTGTGCAACTTTCTTAAGTCTGCAAATTATTGAAAAAATCGCTACTTTCCAAGCCCCATGCTTTCGTAATTACTAAGGCAAAGTTAGGCAGTTAAGCCGGAAATCCCCCATGGGTAACGCAGAGAATTCCATAAAAAATAATGATAATGGTCACAAGAAATTATGTTTATCTGATCAGATTGTCCAAGCAATTTACTTATAAATATTTAACGCATGATGTGTACAATGAAAGAAGGAATCCGAAATAAAGGTGATTGGGACCGTAAAAAAGTAGATCGTAAAACAGGATGCTTCGTCTATACGAGCCATCTGAAACGGGTCATTTGATATCTGTCAACTTTTTCAATGATTCTCTGCCAATCTGGATGTTATCCTATAAAATTCGTGACTAAAAACTAAAATATGTGAGCGGCTTTTCTCAACTCCTTTAGGATTTTCTAGTCAAGGCGAATATAAAATATTTCTTGTGTCGCATGAGCAAAAAGGAATAGAACGTTGTAGCAATCGCCCTGAATATCTTTATATTCGTTTGCATGATTTAGCCTTTGATCAAATACCATTAGTTTTTAATTCTCAAAAAATCTCAAATTCGAGGACATGTAATTCTATAATATAGAGCCAATTTTTGGGTTGTTTGTGCGAATGCTTATGATATAAAGAAAGTAATTATTATAGAGTGTCTGGCTGTGGCACTTCAAACCTACAATTTCTCACATACCCACATATAAAGTTGTCAACACATCATAACGGTCATTTCATATCCGTTATATTGAACTCGGTAAATTATATCCACGAAGATACATTTTCCGGTTAACTTCTGAAATAACAAATCAAAAATTCCGGACGAGTGTGAACCTTTTGTGAAAATGTGACAGGCCTTTATGTACGATTTAATTGGTGCTATAAATCTGAGAAGATCTAAACAGCCAAGAAAAAAAGAATAAAATGTCTTATAACCTATCAGCCCTATTGATGAATTATGACTTGGCAGAAAAACCAAAATAAGCTCAATGTAGCCTGGAATTTTATTGATTAATTTGAAAGTTTGCTTTTTAAAAACAATTTATTTCCAAATTAATACAAACAATAAATTTTAGTTTTAACCGAACCTTAACTATGACTTATCACTCGTATATCTTTAGACTAAGATTGATTGTAGACGATCTGAGACTCGATTCTTATGGCTTCTGGGCAAACATCTAATGTCTGAATGCTCGTTTCTGCTGTGGCTTCTTTTATAGTTAAACCATGCTGATCATAGCAGAAACGGTACTACGTCTTTTTAAAAAATAATAGTCGGCATAAGTGACCATATAATTCTAGAGAAACATGTAAAAGTGTCAAGCTATAAGTACAAGACCTTAACTTTTTTGTTAATATTTTAGATCACTTGACTAATGCGGGTTCATTTCATTTTGCAGAAGCAACGTTTTTAGTTTACGGCCCCTGCCTGAACTCCAAGAAGAGACGCAACGTAAGCTTTAAAATAAAACGAATTAAATTCCTTGTTTTGCGTATATTTTGTTGTCATTTTGTTTTCTGCTCGAGGACTGCAGGGATACTAATACTTTCAGATATAATTAAATCGCTGTAAGTTATGTTCATATTTTAATAAGACAAAATTTCGTAGATCTAGAGGCAGTAAAACCTTACATATTATGCGCCAAGAGGAAGATTAACAGATATTTAACATTTCTAGCATTCAAGCTTTTTGCATTCGACCTGGAATGGTCCATAATGCATGCAACCATAAATAATTGGTTCAAGCAGAAACTGCTACAGTAACAATGATCTATCAGCTTTTCTTGAGCAAGTGAAAAATTTTCGATTTTCAGATATGGCACTATACAAAAATATAGCTTGCTTGCCTGTAATAAAAAACGTTATTTGTGCGGTCAACAGGATTAGAGTGGCCCATTTTCCTCATATTATTT